AAAAAAAAAAAAAAAAAAAAAAAAAAAGGAAGTTCCTGGCGACAGCCGTTAACGAAGAAAAGATTTGACAGATAAATTAGAAGACACTGTTACGCAGTGCAGAAGTTAACTTGAAATCTTAAATTGGATATTGCGGGATAAGTTCTGGCGTTATCGCAGTTAAGTTTGGCTACGCTTTAAACAACTTTTTTCTTATCAAATTATCTGCATTATTTGCGGATGGAGTCCTCCTCTTCGTATGAGTCATCTGTGATACTTGTTTACGTATTTCTGGTGAGCTTCGGAACAGTGTAACGCTAAAGTTCTGCTTCAACCTTCATGGCGTCTCATAAGGCGAAGTTGGTGGTTAATAGGTGATTACCACATCTTGCAACTGCAATCTTAGGAAACTGAACAATTCAAATCTATTCCCACGAAACCCTCCTTCTCATAGTTTTCACATTTCTTGATCACTTTCTGATCTGCCCCGAAATGCCTATCTGATGACAGCGTTTACGTACTCAGATCTTACTGATCCACTGCGCGAAGTAAGCAAACATGTTGCTAAGAAAGGTTCTCGGAAACAAGTACATGTACACTTTAAAGGAAATCTACATTTGTATCATTTTCGGCTTTGTACAGCTTTTTTATTTGATTCCACTGGCCCTACATAGTGTTGACCAAACCTTAAAAGGTTGCTCACGATGTAAGTATATAGGTAAGAACTCAATGGAAAGGTACGAAGTGCAATAGGTGTAGGAGTGTTCTAAGTTTTTTATCCTATTACAAACTTGTCACTCACGCTGATCGTACCAGGCATAAATCTTGTTAAATTATGGGAGCAAATAGTTAGAAGAGCGACGTTGAAGTGTAAGGGCAATTTTGTTGACTTACATTTAACAGCACCACGCACGTTTACGTGTGTAACTTAGATGAAACTTTCTTTTGAAAAGTCGTTTCCATTAATTTTGATAATCACATCTAGGCCAACTTTAAGCATTTGTTGCTCTTATACCAGTTTGATGGCTACGTCTCTACATAGACTGTTGCAGTCAGCAGCAATTATAAAGCAAATTTCGATTCCTCAATAACCGATTTAAAGTGGAACTTTTTTGATAACAGAAGAAAAATAAATGAAAAAATAAAAATAAAAAATAAGAAAACATCTTCTAAAGAAAGCTCCGACCATTTAAAATAAATTTTTGAGCATCCCCGATGCGGAACACAGTACCTGCTAACCATTGCTATCACAGCGCTTGTCAATCCATCTAAACCTCCAAGAACATTAGCATCAATTTAACGGTCTCATACTCCCGCCTCCCTAACATTACTTTCTATCGACCAAGAGAGCGTATCCAGGCACAAATCCAAAAGTATACGCAACATTAGTACCAAGTAACAAAAAACTACTTCGAATTTCCCACGCTTCGGGGATATTTAGCCATTGAACTACTTCATCTTGACCCACTGAGTGGTTTAAATCAAAAGCTATCCCAGACGAAAACTACCTGCAATTTTCTAAACTAACCTCCTTAAATTTTGTATTAACATCTGTGAGAGGACGGCTAAAGATAAGGCAAGTTGCCAACGACGTCACGCTGAAGTTTTCCGGAAGAAATTTTAACAGTCCATTCTTAACTGCTTAATGATTTTCCATATAAATAAAATTTACTTCCATTTACACAATATCTCAACACTTTTAAATTCCTGCTAACCAACATAACAACAACCACTAGATATTATAACCTATGAAGGGGATTTCCCTCCGTTCTTTCAATGCTAACTTTAAGGCCTTCTGAGCAGGAGCAGCGGAAATATAGCTGCTGTTGTAATAACAAGTATCTTCATGACAACTAGGAATAACTGCGAAGGTACTCAAACTTAAAGTCTTATACTTACAAATCCCTCTTCATTACCTATTGCACCACACACTCACACAGAAGTTCTTTAGAAGTCGTAAGAATTAAGATGAAACGATTGGACCATTAGAAAGTTAGCATAAGATACATAAACAGGTCTGTAAGTATCAAAAATGAGACAAACCTGTACGCAAAGATTAAGTAGAAAGAGGATAAAAAAAAAAGCATTTGATGACAGACCCGTTCAACTGCAATAACATCCTTTTTCTACAAAAAGCGGTCAACAGTTAAACATTGTTACAGTTTCTTCAATACTTAATCGGTAGGCTTTGAAACCCCACTGAAATGCCAAAGTGTCAGTAACTATGACTGGAAAAACAAACCGCAAACCTTCTATAGAGGTTTCTGGGCATTAATGCTTACAATAAAACTATGATGAGTTAGATTTTTCTAAGTAGCTATGCAAAAAATACAGTTCCTAGATTAACTACAAAACTGGGAATTTCAATAGCTGGAATTCCGTTCTTTTTTCTTCTTTCCTCTCTGATTTAAAGATTTTTAAGGTTAGTATGTATCAACAGCGCCACCTATGATCGATTTAGTTGCAGCTTAGAATAGCTCATCGCGGAGGGAATACTGCTGCAAATTTTATCGTCTTTGAAAGTATAACTCCGGAAAGATTTGTTTTAGGCAACAGCGAATCTTGTTTCAAAAGGTTACAAGTGGTTTTAGACAACTGACATTACCAATTTTTTTCATCATGTTCAGGGGGCATTGTTTATTCAAGTGTGGCGGAGAATAAGGCTTTTATCATTTAATTTTCTGCAAGTTTTAAAGTGCACTAATGTATATATAGACGCGTTCATTTCCCAATTTGGTGTGGAAATATTTTTCGCGCAGGGACTAGGACTATGGTGACATGGCCGGCTAGCAACCTGGGCAACTGTTGATCTAGGTTCATATTTTGGTGTTTTTACCAGCTTTGCCTGGGAGATCCATGTTAATTTTAATTACATTCTGTTTTGTCAAAATTCTAGCAATAAGATGCTTGCCGAATTTAGTTGAAATTTGGTTTCCTTGCTGAGTTA